CTGCCTTGCATAAGCCCCTAACATTCGAAACATGCTCAGACATTTTGGGCTACAGACAGCTATGCTGCACTGCACACGTTGGAATATACTGCACGCACTCATCGCAACTCATATGACACACAAGTTGTAAGCCAAAAGGCTAGCACAAGCATGAAGCCGATAAATGCAACTGAGCTGATATTCGTTGGTTTCATCCAGCTGAAGCAAAGCTGCAACAACGCACCGCCTCCCAACAGGACCTGCGAACGGACGAGGAAAGGCAAGCCAATCCTGAGGAGGCACCTTCACACTGCCAAGTTGCATAGATGTCATGCATGAGCTGGTGTCAAAACAAACAAAAATGCCTTGTTGTCAACTGGGCTGCGTTCTTCACAGCGGTGTGGTCTGTGAGGTTTAAGCCATTCGCTTTTAGGGACTCGTATCTACTGTGACTACTGTGAGATATTGTGAGTATTGTGACGAGCACTAGCCTGAGGAGTTGGGCCCAGATGGACATCCAGTGGGAGCCTTACAGCTTGTCCACAGTCTGACGGGGCTGTCGCCCCAGCCGGCAAACACCCAAAGCAGACCCGGACTCAGGTATGGGATGGTATGGGTGTAGGGTGTAGGATTCGTTTTTGCTTTTCTCTGGACAGGGCCGGGATGGGCCGGGGGGGCAGGGTCTTGAGTTTGGGCCCTGGAGGTCAGCAACAAGGCTCAACAAAGACAAGGGACAAGGAAAAGCAGAGGGGACATGAACAAAAAAAGGGTAGAAACACTTGTTGAACGCTGAGCGAGCTGGCTCTGCTCTTTGCAAGTATAAGAAAATTCGCCGCCATTGCACCCGAACAGCGAAATTGAGACTCGGGAGCATTCCGCAAACATGGACGGAGCTAGGGAGACCGGTCAGGATGAAACAGCATGCGCGCGAAGATGAAAAGGTCATCGGCGGCATGGCAGCACATCTGATTCGCCCGTCCCTCTATTTTAGGCCCCGCGTCCGGCACCCACTGCTCCTGGTCGAATTCCGGGATCAGTGCTAACCCAGAAAAACAGGCAATTGCCTGAATGCAGTGGTTTGGCAACAACCTATTTTGCACACCTGCATATTTACACCACTTGCTGCATTTTGGGAGGTTCCGAGTGCTCCCAAATCCGGGTCCAAGCCACTATGGGCCACTGATGCTCATGGTGCGTGCCCGTTTTGGGGCGGCCGGTCAAAACCTATTGCCGATGATGCGATCCTTACAGTTTAGATAAAGGCCTTTCCCAAAACCCACCCAACACGCTGCCCCAGGGTCGGCAGACATGTATACGGAAAGATCACGTAAAACCACGTTAATGCTCATTGCCAGGTGGGCCGTCTGTACGTGCAGCGAGCGCAAACAAAGAAGGAGCGGCAGGCTGTCTCACTCGTGGCCTAGCCGTTTGGCATTTTTTGCCACTGGTATCTTGCCTGTCAAAATCTGCAGGTCTCTGTGACATTGTTAGCAGTCGTTGGCCCTGAAGATGTCTGAAGTGTCTGATGGGGAGCTTTGCGGGAGGCCGAGCTCCGCTCCAAGTTTAGTGACACCAAGACCTCCAACAGTACCGGCGTGAACCTTTACGTGCCTTGGTTGCAGGCACCGTTTGCCTTTCCCGCGTCATGAACTATCATGAACCTGCGAATTCTGACCCAACTCTGCTCAGCAGCTAAGTGCATCCTACCTCGTTGGGATCAAATATGAGCCACTAAGTGCCGACACTGACAGGTCAAAAATCTCGATCCTGATGTGGACGATGACTCTCTGAGCCTTGATGTCACATTGGTTTTCAAAGATCGCCATCAAATATCCGAATGATGTGAAGATGTGAAGGTTGGGATCGGGAAGGTCAAACTCCAAGCTTGGTACTTGTAGCGTGGTTGCACGTGGAGTTCAAACGGAATCGGCCCAGGAGACAGCTCTTCGAGCCTTTCGGAAAGGCAGTCTGGCGGCACCATGAGAGAGAAGGTCAAAGTTACTCTGTTGAGTGGCGTAGTTATGTTGAAACAAGGGTCATTTGAAGGTCCTGCACATAACATCCATATTGTTTGAGCCTGGATGATTAAAGCAGACTCCACGTTTTCATTTACGGACATCGGTCTTGCCGCCCGAGGTGGCCTCTGCATCAGCCATGATGGATAGCTCCGGCAAGTGCAAAGGCAGCTGCACTGGGACGTGTGTCGGCTTCCCTTATAAGGTATGGGTTCTTGTTCGAGATGAGAGTCTTCTTCGCAAGCCCATGCTGTTCAGCAACACGGACAAAACTTCGACTGCATGTCAAAGCGGCCCTGCATGTGTTGAACACACCGCCTGCCATTTGGCAGATAATTGCAGGCTCACGTAGGCTCCACCAACGCCCCCTTCCACGCACAGTACTGTGCAGGATTCAGCCGGGTCGAAGCTAAAGTTGAGAAAGGTGAAACGGCACGCGCGTTGCTGGTTCTGTTCAGCATGGCTCTTACGGCTCCCGGTTTGTGCCAAGTTGGGCTTTTGATCTTCACAGTCCTTCGGCCTGATTTGATCCCTTTCTGAATGGGTCTTGAGACGACATAAATGTATGGCTGGCTACCTGTACAAGCGGGTAGGTTAAGTCGTATCTTCTTGTTTAAAGTCGTATCTCGGGCGCGTGCACGCTGGTTATTCGCGAATTCCAAGATTGGTCAGAACCCACTTGCACCCCCAAGCAGAAATCTCATTCACGCGGACAAAAATGTGCTTCCCTCCCAGGCGTGCGGTGACAAGTGCGTATGTTGCATGTGTGTCCAAAAAAACATGCGCGTGCGGCGCGTGCACATAGGGGGAAAAGGCTTCAACATGTCTCTGTGATGCGACGTTACACAGGGTGATGTGACTTCGCAGCCGTGTGTCACTGGGGAGATGTGACTGCACACGCAAAGATGTGAGTTAACCTAGCCCCTTGTACCTTTTGTTGAGAATTGAGAGTGCATGGAGAACGTTCTCTAGATCGGGAGGGCTTGGACGACTCCTACTCGCACAGTCCTCGAGCGATCAGAGGAGCGCAAAGTTCACAGCCAAAGCCCAGGGCGCATCATAGGCCGCGAGAACAAGCTTGGCAAAACTGGGCCAGCATGCAGTGACAACAACCACCCTCCATTCCCCTTCTTCACCTTCTTGCGATTGAACGACGGAATCCTGAATCTCTGCTTCTGACAATCTTCTTGACTTCTTGAAGTACGAATGTACTTGAAACAGGAATGTACGAACAAGCTTTTTCTTCTAATAAATCCTTCTTTTGACCTTAACCAGCTTGAGAAGCTGGTAGCAGCTAGTGTGTACCTTTAGCATGATCCGAGTTTTGAGGTGGCGCGGGCTAGTCCTCTTTCTCGAGTCCTTTGATCCTGTTCGTGGGGTCGGACCCTACAATTTGTGAGTGAATTTGCCTAGCCCGGGCCACCTCGGTTTCTTCATCAGGCCCATGTAGCATGAAGCGAATCCAGACAAAAGACAACAGAACAAGCAATCTCCCGAACCCCACAGCATCCCACAGTAAACCGGCGTCCCCGCATCCGAAAGAAATCCTGCCCCTGAGACAGAAGACAAACGTCGTCAATGCTGACCGGCACAAGCCTACCTAAGAGGACAGCTGTCCAGTGTATACTCTGGATAGATTTGACGTATCAGATGCACCCTTACCAGAGGTTGCTCAAATGGAGAACTTGAATGCAAGAGTTCGATGCAGGCTTTGGCTTCGTCTGCTTTGCCACACCGGATGATGCCACAAAAGCCGTCACCGAAATGCACTTGAAGGCTCGAGTGAGCACAATGCTGATACTGAGCTTGTTTCACGGCCTGCAACCTCATGGCATATGTCGGCGATCATGGTTTTGAGCTTGATGCGCTCTGAGATTGACTACGTATAGATATGCTGACTGCGAGCCGCGGTCTCATCGAGTTCGACTCGAGCTACATCTGTGGATCAGTTAAAATGCGATTTTGACGGGTGTCTACACAGCTCGGCCTTTGTCGTTTTGTGTTGAACTTCTGTTGACGTCCACTTGGGCCTTTGGCGCTTGGGGATCCTTGGAGCTGCACGTGTTCAAAGATTGGCGAGGAGCCTGTTAAGCCCAAAACGGGTTGCATTCGAGCAGATCACATAAACGAGCACGTGTCCTTCAGGTGGTCAAAGGCAAGCCGCTCTACGTTGGCCTTGCTGAGCGAAAAGAGGCGCATCCCGGCATGAGGTGTTCCTTGCAGAGACGACGAGGATGACATGCTTTGATCATCGGCAACGACAACATGTCGACTATGCAAAATGCAGAATATGTTACGTACCCGCGCTTTCACTGCTTTCCGGGATGTCCAAAGCTTTGACCGGAGGCTCGTCAAGAGCGCTTGCGACAAAGATTTGTGGGAGGAGCGCCTTGGCCATGATCCAGGTGCAGAGTTCCAGTATGAAC